ACACAACACTAAACACTTTTATAACTACATAATTTATTGATTAATTAAAATTTTATTTTTTAATAAAATAAAATTCTTTTTTAGTAAATTATTTTATAATAATTTTATTTATTTTTTATTTTTTTAATTTTTTATTTTTTTTTCACACACATGAACAACTAAGCATAATTAGCACCTACACGATGCGGGCCCCACGTAATCGAATAAATGTCCGACAATTGGTAATCCTTTCGGACCAGGAAGCTTTGCGGCTAGCCCATATAAATGGCTTCTAGATAAACGCCAATAAATGAACCACAGTGTAATGGTGGGCAGCAATAAAAAATAAAAAATGCTGCTAGCGGAAATGAGTGCTGGATCTTTTAATACTTCCAAAGTCATTTTAATTTATTTTAATTAACACACTTTTGTTGTCTAAGTACACGTCAAATACTAGTAAATTGAAAACTGATGAAGTTTTCCTTGTTATTCGCAAAAATAATTCATAAAAGACATTAAGTTTGATTTATTTAAAAACTTTTCAATTTTATGAATATTTTCTTCTTTTTTCTCTAATTTCCGCACCGTTTAAAAATTACACAAATCCAAAATGAACGTCCGCGATAAACTGTAAAAGTGCGCCAAAGTGCGGTGCACTTTTATAGTTTAATCGGTTCTCTGATCTCGACTTAGTCTACGAATCGCCATAATCACTGCTCGCCATAAAGCTGTGGTACTACACGTACATCTGTGTGCCCATGTTAGATACTTTTTTAAATAAATTTGCAATTTTCATTGCAATTTCTCTCAAATCAGTGCCGAAGTGAGATACGAGCACAATAGTGAGAGCTTGTGTAGATTGGCTTCGACCACTCTCACTTTTAGTTACGCATTTCTAAATTGCCTGAATAAAAATCAACATGTGGAGCCAGCGCCACAGACAGAAGAGTATCTAGTATCTTTTTTCAGTATTAGGTTTAACATTACATTTATGAAATATTATGTGTACTCAGGAATATATGCAGATATATAAATATTTCACTTCTGAGGTAACTTACATGTTTTAGGCGAATTAACTGTAACTGTAACTTAGCATACAATTAAATCACTTTTCCAGTTTATACAATTATAGTTACATGTATCTACAAGTTATGTTATTTATTAAAATTGTTGATTTTAGTAATATCAATATATTTTTTTTTAATATAATTTTTTTTTTATTTTTTATAAAATTGTACGATTTTAGTGATCCTTTTTTGTGCTGTATTGTCCATTTGATTAGGTTCAAGTTTTTATTCAGGTTACAGTAAAATGTATAGTATAGTACGATTTTAAATGAAATAAATAAATATCGTGATTGATAAACGATTAAGAAAATAAATGTAAAAAAATAATCTTAAATAACTAAAATATGCAAAATTAAAATATGATATAAAAAAATATAATTAAATATAATTATTAAAATTGATTAATAATAAATAAGTACAATTTATTAAAACAAAAAAAAAAATTATAAAATATAATAAAAAGTATTTTAATATAATAAAAAGTTTTTGGTATAATTTTGTATTAATATCTCATGTTTTATTAAATTTGTTAATTGATTTTTACTCAAAATTAATTTCAATTCTCATAAGAAGTAATTTCACTTAATTAAAACTATTATTGGAAAACAAACTCACTCGGAGGCTTCAAAAGTACGCCATGCCTTTCAAACATGCGTACAGCACCGGCTTCTTACCCCAACCATGAAAGAAGGCCATTGTCTGCCCCATTGCCAAGTCTGGCAAATCCAAAGCTAGAACCCGGCAGCTAACGCCCCATCTCCCTCCTAACCTCTATCAGCAAGCTTTGTGAGATATTCATAGCCGGCAAGCTGAAGTCCTTCTCCTCGGAGAACGGCATTCTCCTCTCGTGCCAGAGTGGCTTTAGAAGCCAAATGTTTACACTCTTCACCATTTCCAAAGCGAGGTATGCGTTGGCCTTTACAACAAGCGCTTCACTGTGGTAGTAAGTATTGATATTAAGAAAGCCTTTGACATAGTATGGTTCGAAGATTTGATCCACAAACTCCCTCCAGGGAAGTTCGACTTCCCTCCAACACTCTGCAGTGTTGTCCACCAATTTCTTTTCAATAGGTCCTTTTAAGTTCGAGTCGGTTCGTCTTTGTCCTGTGATTTCCCTTTAGCCGCCGGCGTCCCCCAGGGCTCGGTTCTCGGCTCCCACCTATTCAACATGTTTACAGCAGACATTCCTCTCTCTCAGACCCCCGTCAAGCAAATATGCTTCGCTAACCACTGCATCGTCTTCATGCGGTCTATTAAGCTCTAAGGAACTCGCACTTCGATCGAAATATCTGTTTTGTTTCCTTTATTAATTCGAAGTCAGAGTCCTAACTTCTTATTAAATTGTTGACTTGGCATCTTTTCTACCAAGTTCTTTAACTGATTTAAAATGAGTGGATAGTATTTATTTCATTAGAGCATCAGTGACGGAGAAGCTTTCAGCATGTAATTCGCGGTTTTATAATCTTTCCCAATTGATTGTTATCATAAAATGAAAACGGCTTCAACTTGCATTATCTATATTAACATCCATTATATTTATTGTTTTATATACTTACTTGATTCTTATTCCGCTTTAAATATAAACTGAAATTAAATAATTTTCCACATATTCAAGTGAACTTAAATATATATACTTACTCATCCTATTAGATTTAGTACAACTTAAATGGAAGATTTATGTTGGCTTTTAAAATATTCTTCGGAAATTGTTTTAATTTTTGTTTTAACTCAACATAAAATAGTTTTTGTTTTGTTCAGAAAATGATTCATAAAATTTATGAGCAATATTAAGTGAAATGAAATAAAAGATACTTAATAGAGTGACATAGTAATAAATTTAAAAATAAACATTTTTCTTTGACATTTTTTAACGCGGAGCAAATTTTTTCAGCCTTTTAATTTGTCAACATATAAAAAATAAAAAAAAATTAAAAAAAGAATAAATAATGTCCTTAACACCTTTGGAAATGTTAAAGAAATTATGCCGCCAATAACATTTTATGAATTTTTTAGATTAGGCATGACATGCTCAGTTCTTCTGCGAATTAGTCCTACGCACTTTTGTTGAGGAGTGAGGTGGAGTGCGGTAAATGTTACGCATTTAAATTTCAAAGTTTCGTATTTTATTGTTTGCGTGCGAAAATTTCATGTCGTTTTATAAGAGAATGTCTAACTGATTTATTTTACTTATGAAAAAGTCATAAAATTTATTTATGATTTTTAAGTGATTTGTATGAAATTATGTTGTTATTTTCACAAGACAATAAATCAGTTAACACTAAGACTTCTTGTTTTGTCGATAAGTTTCTTTAATAATAGAGGTATCTAATAGAAGTTTCCAAATACTGTCAATAATGAATTACCTTTGATGGACAACCAATGGCAAGTAATACGCTTATCTAGCTATATTTGGAGGTATTTTGCACTCGATTCTTGAAGTAATTGTTTCTTTTTCAAGTACTTGGGAAGATACTCGACTTTGCGGGAGATAAAGTGTCCATCTATACACCCACTTGCTAACGTCCTTTAGTCGTTTTTGTAATTGAGTGAAGGCGATTGTTGGCTGTGACTGTTTAAACATGATTACTATGTCTTTGACGAATGTCATGTTAGATATTTACGTAGAGATGAGCATATTAGCTGTCTAATGACTATATAAAATTGGTCCAAAAACTGAAATTATTTACAAAAATTGACTCGCTTACCAGTACCACATTATCGAAACTCAAAATGGTTACAGGTTCCTTGGAGAGACATGCAAATCTGAGATCAATTAATGCTTAGTCTGATGAAGTGATAAACAATAATCCAGTGAAGGCGTAGAGGGGGGTTATGAAGCAATCTCGCACTGACTCAACTAGCCTCAACATAATAATAATATAGATATATAAATCCTTTTGAGTTTATATATCTGGCAGTCCCACAGGCCAGATCAAAGGCTTGTGTAACATTCAAAGAACCTTACTTTTACATTGTAGTACGAATGATTCTATAATCTCCATCTTAATATGTCTCTTCTAATATAATTCCCATCTCTATGTTCAATAATTCCATGTAGTGTTGTGGAGCAAATTTGTTGGTTCTAGCAATTATTGGGTTTACTTTAGAGAGTAACAAGGTTTTAAGTATTTTGCTCACAACTTTTTAGAAGCTTGTTGGTCTACATTAAAAATTAAAAAAAAAAGTATTTACTTATATTACTTAGTTGGCCATTTTAGACGAGTGTCGTCTTTGGCCGGACTGGGAAGGGAGCGATCATACAAGTTAAAATGTGGTTGTTAGTCTGTGGGTGATTGCATTTAATTTGGTAAATGCCAGCACGATCCTTGTCATTGTTCTCTCCAAATTGACACATAGCCTCCACACAGCCCCCTCTATATAGCTACAATTATTCGTATGTAGTGAAGTGATATATGCAGCAAAATCGTTCTTATGGATATATGAGAACATTTTTGGATATATGACAAAGAGTCAACTTCGGATTTACTTCCATTATTTAATTTAAAATAAAAAATGTGAATTAATTAATAGTAAAGTCTTTTATTGGTTAAAATTAAATTAACTTTAAGTAGTTGCAGTTCATAACTTATAATTAATAAGCGCACACATAAGTATTTGTTTGTATCATACAAAATTTCATTTATAAGATACAGTGCGTATGAGTAACGTTTTTTTCATATTTAACATTAATATTCAATAATTATATTTCTTTATTGGAAGCTTAAGAAATTAGTTTGCTGTAGTAAAAAACGTTATAATATATAATATAAGCTTAAATAAAATTACTTATCTTAATAAATATTTAATTTTTAATGCATACATTTATATTAATAAAGTATTTAAATTATTTATGTATAAAGATTTATAATTCAGTATGTATTAAATTTTTCTAAAAGAATTTATTTTTAGGCAGGTCTTGTAGGCAACACGATTACAAAAAACTAATTTTATACAATATAAAATTACAACTTAAAAGTACGTTTGACTAAATTTACATATAAAACAGTGTTGACAATGCAAATATGCACCCTAAAAATATGCTTAGATATCAACTGCAGTTGTGATATTGTGCAGTCTTTGCTTTAATTTGAATAAATGTGTTTTTAAATAATTTTTTTTGAAAATTAGCGAGTTGCTATTTATATACTAGATTTAACTTAATTTTGTAATATAATTTTTTCTATATTTTATTTTTTTTTTAACTACACCGACGATTCGTAAATAACAATTTGCAAAACTTTTGGTTTATTGTTTTGAGCTTCTTTAACTTCCTTCAGAATGGCATTGGTAATGGCTTCCAGAGCGGCTATGTCCGAGTTGTGTTCATTTTTCTTTGAGGAATTCCATTTTGGCATAGAAACCTAAGGTAAAAATAAATGCAATATTTAACTTTAGGAAGAGAAAGAAAATTTTGTTGAACAAATGCCAATATTCAAGTTCTACTTGAATAATTACAAAAACAATATTTTTAAACAGCTTCATCTATTACTCGTTACGTTTTATGTTTGTCTTAAAGAAAAGTTTCTACAAACAAAAGTTTTATAAGTCTTATGCAGCGTTTATATGCTTTTAAACTGAATATAAAGAAGTTACTTGAATAAATATTGGTTTTAGAACTTTAAAAGAAAGTAAAACACTTTAAGTGCAAATTAGTAGATGCACTAAAAAATAGCTTAAATAATCCTAAGTAGGTAATATATGTATATCAATTAACTATATATGCATATAAAGAGGAGTGTTATAGTTTATATAAAAAAAGTTTAAATAATCTTATGTAGGTAATATATACCAATTGACTATATATGCATTTAAAGAGGAGTATTATAGTTTATATAACAAAGTTGAAATAATTTGAAGTAGATAATATATATCAATTGATATCTTCGTAAAATCTTTGGTCCTCTGCGAGTTGGTAACGACTACCGCATACGAATTAACCACGAGTTGTACCTGCTTTAACACAGCATTGATATAATTCTGCGAACTAACAATCAGCGGCTTCGCTCGGTTGGTCATGTTGTGAGAATGGATGAAGATGCTCCAGCGAAAAAGGTGTTTGAAATAGTACCTGCCGAAAGAACACGTAGAGGTAGACCGTGTCTCCGGTGGAGTGATCAAGTTAAGGGGGCTGTAACTGGACTTGATGTACGAGACTGGAGAAGGCGCGCATGCAGCAGAGGCGCCTGGAGAGACATGCTGCGTCAGAACGAAACTCGGTAACGGATTATTATGGCCAAATAGGTAAGTACCATAAGTAAGTAACATATGCATTTCAATAGGAATATTGTAGTTTATTTGGTTGTTAACAATTAAAACTTTTTTTTTATATTTTAAGAAATCATGAAGATGATAGATATTTGGCAGTATTTGAACAACTGTGTTTAAATAGGCATAACATGTTTGATATGGTTGCAAAAATTGGAACCAATTTAGTATTTTAAAAAGCTATTTGATTACTGTTGATGTCTATTATTACTCACAAGTCTGTTATTATTATATTTAAATAACTAAAACGAAAATTTATTGTATTTTACTGTATTTTTAAAAAGACTGGAACTCATAGTTCAACCCATAAAAATAAATTATTAAATGAAAAAATAATTCTTTTGGAAATATTATGCTTTGCTTCGCAGTATTTAAGGATGGCAAGGTTATTTATTTCACAAGTTCTTGTCTTGTAATATTAAATGGCAACAAGTATTATTTTCATATAAAGTTCATTTCTTCAACTATTTTATGGTCACATGTATATTATAATCAACTGCGTACAACGTACGAACAACATAAATTTATTAGAGAAACTACACGGGTGCACTTTTTACTTACTGCACTTTAAAAATAATTTTACACAGATATATATCTCCATTTATATATATCATACTAAATATGAAAAAAAAAGAAAATATAACACATACCGTTAAAATTTTTTGTAACGCAGTATAATCCAAACCAGTGCCAGCAGTCTCGCCTAAACGTCGTAAAGTTTCTGCCATGGGACCAGAAAGTTCCTGAAAAATAAAGAGCATTTACTCGTATGTTTTAAAACAAAATATAATGCATCACAAAACTGATAGAAGAGAAAAGTTTCGAAATGTATGAATTCATTAAAATTTATAACAAAAAATTTTAAACGAAATGTTTGATAAAATGGATAAAATATCATATACAAGTGCTATACTTGTATAGTATAATTTCCACTTACTTGCAATTTAGCCCAACTTGTGGCATATTGACGGCGAACTAATTCTATTATGGTTGATGTTAACGCTAAGCCAATTAAAATGTACAAAGTGCATAGTAGCATGTAATTGGGTTTCTCTATAAGAAAAATACACATTTCAAATAATAAATTGTATAACTTTAAATTGAGTTCGTTTTATATATAAGTAGTGTTAAGTCACAACATACTTGGCACTAAATCACCAAAACCAATCGTTGTCATGGTAATAAAGCAAAAGTAGAAACCATCGAAGAAACTCCAATCATCTTCCCACAGCAGGAGTAAACCAGCTCCGAATGCCAAATAAACACCCAGAAAACACACAGCTAAAATGGCATAGAACCATGTCTTCCCAATGAAGTTTGTGAATTTTGGTTTTTCTGAAGAGAAATTGAAGTAAAAAATTTTTAATTTAAAAAATACTGAATAAATACATCTTTATAGAGAAATTATGAGACTAAAATGTACGAATAGGTCAAACATACAATAGATGAGATAAACTCATATGTCATGATCAATAAGAAAAATATTATTATTTTTATTATTTTATGAGAAATATCGCAATCCTTAATGTATTTTGATGTACTTTAAGGTCAGTGAGGTTGCTTCACCGCCACTATTGAGTTGATTGTCACTCTATTTGAGCAAGCAGATAATATATGATATCAGAGAAATGAAGCGAGAATACATTACCTTGCTAAGTTCTTGAATGCATTTTGTTGCACTTTAAGTTTAAGTTAAGAAAGAGAATTAAACCTTAAGGATTTAAGTAGCAAGTTAATATCAAAGTTAGTCATGTAGAACTTTTTTTAAATTCAAAACACTTAAGTTCTAGTATATGTTATTAGTACTGAATAGTTATTTAAGGATTACTTAACATATTTTGCAATTATTTTCATTATTATATATAAATTCTTTTACCTCCTAAGAGGCCGCATTTATTATTACTTATTACTTATATTAATAATTGAATTTTAATACAAGTAATGTTTAATATTTTTTTCTGATCACTACTGAATTATACTTACTTGGCATATATTTGCCAAAAACTGAAACCGCTGTAGCGAATAGACGACCCCAATCTGCGATAACAGTAAGCGTAAATGGAATTCCAATTAAAGCGAATCCTATGCAAAACACACGTCCACCAGTTGTCACTGGTACTATGTTACCATAACCTAAAAAAATTTTTTTGGTGAATACATTAATATAACCCAATTATATTAAGGATCAAGAATATATATAAAAAAAATATCTGTAAAAAAAAGGAGATCATACAAGTCATGAAAAGTACAATATGCTCCCGATAATGGCATCGATGGAAGTGTTGAATATATTTATCTTTATTGTATTGTAATTTGCATAACTTTTGATACAATGTCTGGATTATCGAGAGCATATTGTACAAAATAGAGTTAAATGAAAAAATTATTAATATCAAGAGTTGTTTATAAATTATTTAATAATAAAAAATTCTGTATAAATAGAAACACTTACCTATTGTTGTTAAAACAGTCGAAGAAAAGAACACAGCTTGTAAAATGCTCCAGCGCTCATATGGCTCTGGAAAGTCTCTATCAGCCTCAATTAAAAGACCACCAGTCGCAGCTTCTTGTACTGCCTGAAAACATTATAAAGTATTAAAGTATTATAATGGTGAATATATATAAAAGTTGAAAAAAAAGTAAGCTCCTCTTTCTATTAATTGTTCAATTTAAGAACTGATTTTAAGAACCAGTTTTTAAGCTCTTCCAACAAACTGTTTCTCTGAATTATTTGATTTACTGGCATATAAATATTTAAAATAATTAATAAATTAATTAACATTTGTTAAATTGTTAATATTGCTAAATTGTACTTACTAGATTTTAAGTAACACGTGTGTGGGTTTACTGAACCAGTGTTTAGCTCCCATACATATAATTTATATTACAATATTATCTATGCTAACTCATGGGGTTTTGTACGCTTCAGCCTACTCAGTTTATTGGTAATATCTAGTAGTTGAATAGCTTTTAAATTGATGTGATTGAGTAATCGTTTTTCATGCCTAACGGTTACTTTTTGCATGGTTTCTTTGACTGTTATTAATTCTGAGTGATAATTTATAATACTATTTTGAAATAGTATTAATAATTTAATAGATTGAAATAATTAAATAATTTTAAATGAATTTTTCTTACTATTTATTGTGCGTTGCTTTCAGAACTGGATTTTCCTCTTGACTATCTACAGCTTTTATATCTCAAAATATTCCAATTCCATTTTAATTCAATTAGCATCTGTTTTATTTTTTATCAATAAAAACTTATTTTTATTTCTATGCCTTAACTCACTGTGACCTTTGTTTCTTTCCTTTGACTTCCTTTAATGCAATAAAAATTTTCGTAATTATTTTAACGTTTATTTTTTCGTAATTAATTTTCTCGGTTATATTCGCTTAATTACTAACGCAATTTGTATCTACTAGGAATTTCGCATAGCAATTTAATACGGCAATTTACTGAGCAAGTCGAGTTAATTGAGCAGAAATAAAAAGCGAAACGTGCACTCCACAGTAAAAGTATAAAGTTTGATTAATGAAGAGTTCGACGATACAACAAATAAATAAATCGTTCAATTGAAATTTAACATTTACAAGCGATTAGTGATTTTTATGGCCCCATAAGAATTATAAATTATTTAAAATCATTAAGTATTCTTCATTATGATCCACAATAAAGTAATGATCTAAAAATAAAAACCCAATAAAAATTTAAATGGTAAATTATTTTGATGCTACGAGTATATACGCAAGTGTTCTGCGTAAACTATAAAAAGATAGTTCTTATCAGTAGTCGCTGTGGATTTATTATGTTTACTCTGAAGCGTATTAAAGCTGTACTTTAATTTTTAAAATTTGAATATTAAATTTTAGAACTTTTATGTTGCATACAAGTGCGTTGGTGGTGTAATGGTTAGCATAGTTGCCTTCCAAGCAGTTGATCCGGGTTCGATTCCCGGCCAACGCAGCAATTTTTTTATGACACTTTCTATTATTTTTTATTAAAATTATTTAATTTTGAATGACATTAGAAGTGTCCTCTACGATTCTAACGACAAATTTTTAACGATCAAAATTATATATAAATTATATATATATAAATTATATATTATAATAACAATTTCTTTGACGCTGATATAGTCTTGGGTTACATCTATTGTCATTGTTTAAATGTTATTATTATATTGAGGCTAGTTGAGTCAATGCACTTGAGAACTTTTACTCTCTATTAACTGCCTGGTTTCTTCATAACCCATCTCTATGCCTTGATTGGATTATTGTTTATCACTTCATCAGACTAAGCAATAATTGTTATTATACATAGTATGAAGTCACGTATTAGGATTAAAAGTCAGAAACGCTCAATGAGCGAAAAAACAGCCACAATGCATTGTGTATAATTCAGAAAGGCCACAAAACGAAATTTATGCTATAGCAATTTTGATAACCACAATGCTTTGTGGACTTTTAAAAAGACTATATAACGAAAATCGTGTTATGGCACTTTCAAAATCCAAAAACAATTAGAAAAAATTAAAGCAAAAATAATTTTTAAGTGGAGAAAACTACTCAGAATAGCCAATTTCACAATAATCCGTTGAAAATCACTACATTCTTAAAATCAATCAATCGTGCAAGAGGTGAATATATCATTTATATATTATTTAAACCTGAAGTTATCTTTAACACGCTTAATTTCTTAATAATACATATCTTATATTATATATATGTATATATATTAACAATGTTTACACTTACCGATTCATATTTTGCTAATTCAAGTAATAATAAATGATCTAAATTGTTGATATCTGTATTATTTAATATCGCAGTTATAAATTTCTCACGTTGTGTTTTCACAACATCTTTTAAAAGCGTCAATCGTTCGACTTCTGCCGGTCGTTCCAGATGGCGAAAAATCTGTAAAAGTAGAAAAAATTTATATTATTTATTCTAAAATAAAGCATGAATATGTTTGAGTATTATTCTTTAAATTAATGCTCTCAGATTTAATTAACTATTAACCTATATAATATAAAAACGCCATATTAAGGTAAGGAAAACCTTATAACATGAAAAAAAAACATCACATGTTATAGAAAAATATTATGTTTATTAATATTTTAAATATTATCTCAGCAGTTCAAAACTTCTGAGTATTTTAATAACACTGCATAGTCAACTTATATATAGTACAAGTGGATATATCACAACCCAAAAAAATCTGTTCTCATTCTCTTCTTGCGTTCCTTTCGAATATTTTAAAGTACCTTGAATTGCTTGTATAGGTAGAATTTCTTTGAGTAACTTTGAACTTCTAACTTTATCTTTCTAAACCTTTGAAATATTCGATCTAAGTGTTCAAACTCATATATACTCGAATTGCTTGAGCAGTTTGAAGCTCGCAAATATCAATCTTCGATACTCGAACCTTTGAAAAAGTAATATTTAAAATCTTCACCAACATGAAAATATGCTTCAAATCGACGATATTTTTGATATGGTAACTGCAGGGCTAGCAGACTCAATGCTCTCTGAAATTTACTTTCTAGATCTTGTTACTCCACTTTCCCAACAAACAAACATATTTAAAGATAGCTAAAAAGACCTCATGAGTTAATTATTCTAAATTAGACAAAAAGCATGCCAATTAGTTGCTTTAACTAAAGCGGAACCTACTAAGTATTGTAGTAGCGGTGTTGACATGTTACTGTTTTCCATGATGAAGTACAAAAAGGCTACGTATAATAAAATTAACTTAATAATAACAATAATAACCTATAATAACTTCTGTTGTAGTTGCGGTTTTGCAGAGAGAAGCGGAAAAAACTATGTTTCACCTAATCTGTGCCCATCTTTGTCCAGTAAAAGTTTGAATACCTTTAGAATCATTTTTCTTACCGACCTGGCACAGCTGTCATACTTCAGAATTATGAGCATAAGCAAGTTTCTATACTTGAAAGATAGGTTTACTTTTAATTAAAGTCGTGCCTGTTATCTTCAATGCTGGCAGTGCGATGGCTACTATGATCTCTATACCTACTTTGGTACTGTGCTTGGTTTAGCGTACGGACAACGTTTTATCCGTGGTATAACATTAACCATTATTTGTTCTTAAGTGGGCTTTGAAATACAGGGCCACCGATCCAGTCTAACTAAACCTACAAAATTACTAAAATTAAGGTTCTCATTTTTAATTAGAATGTGTAATAAATTTATGTTAAAAAACAAACTTAGAAATATATTTCAAAAATAACAAGTTCTGAGTGAATAATAGATACTTAATTTTCAACAACATTATTTATAAAAAAGCTAGTAAAATTTATTATAATAAATTGCATTTTGAATGAGGTTTCAAATATCTTCAATAGTTCAATAAAAAAATTGTTTTATAAAGCAAAATAACTTTAAAGATTTATGCATCAGAATGTGCGACATTAGAAGATTATAAATAAGAGTTTTTTGTTGTAATTGTGACTTCTATAAATTATTTATTTTTTTTTATAATAAATGGAAACAGAATTATGAATAGTGAATAATTTTTTTTATAATTTTAGAATAAATATTTCTTGAAGCGCGTGTCTCACAAACGCATAAATATATAGTACTGTAGTATATATAAAAAATATTTAAAATTATTATTAGTATTTAGTTTATTATTATTAATATTTAGTTTTATTTTATTTCATTTTAAATTTATTACATAGAAATTTATAACCACTATATTATATTCATATTATATTTTCAATGCAAACGTAAAATCAGTCCTTTATTATGACTGCGAAACATGGAAGCATTCAAAACAGGTATAAAGGAAGATTCAAACATTTTCAAATAAATGCCTGTGGAAAATCCTAGAAATATGGTGGCCCAAACACATATCAAATGCAGAAGTTTTTCTCCAAACAAATCAGAAAGCTGCTATAACCGAAATAAAAATGCGAAAATATAGTTGAATAGGATATACTATCCGACGACCAAATAAATACATTCCACGACAATCTTTGACATGGAACCCACAAGGCAGCAGACGCCCTGGTGCACCGGCTTTAATTTTGAGAAAGACAATTGAAAGAGAAATGACAGAAGCGCCCTACACATAGAACGATATATGCAAAGAAGCATCTAATAGAGTGCGGTTAAAGAGGATCGTTGCGGCCCTAAGCCTCAGTAGGGCAAACGGATACTAAGAAGAAGAAAGATGTTATATATCTGCCGATTAAAATTATTATATTAGTAGTAAATTATTTTTATAAATTAAAAATATTTTTTTATTTTAACTTTTTAATTAAAATTTTATAGTATATAGCAGTACAAGTAGTTGTGGGAAGTGAAGTTACTGCATAATTTTATTTCAAATATATAAATTTTTTAGATTTATGATATAATAAATTGGTTGGTTGCAGTGACAGGTCATCAGATAACTTCCATGTACCTTATTATCTTCTATACCCTAGTATAGAAGAGTAGAGACTAAATCCATCCCGCCGAATTTAGATAATTTAATAGGTATTTCGTCTTTACCAATGGGCAGTCTGTTAAACTATCAAAGAAGTATCTGCGAATAACCTATATTTTCTCGACGCCAAAGCCGGGCATTCACCGAGAAAGTGTACTATGGTTTCTTTTTCCTGCGGGTTTCCGCAACTTCTGCAGTGAGGATTATGGGAAATGCACAGTTTCTCTGCATGAGTTCCCATACACCAATGGCCAGAAAGAACCACCGTGAGCCTTGCAGTGTTCACGCGGTCTCTTTTGATGAGTTCTGAGAATCTATTTTTATTATAGTTGGGCCATGTTAACCTGGAAGTTGCACATAACTTAAGTGTTTTCCAACTGTTATTGGCAAGTTGCAGAAAGTAGAGAAGGGTACTACTCTTAATGGTCTCTAGGGTAATATAAAATGGAACCGCTAGTCACACATCCAGGAAAGTACCAGAGTGGGCTAAATTGTTAGCTTTCTAGTTCCCTACGATATTTCTATATCCAGAGATATAATAAATTAATAGTATATTTTCTAAAAAATACTGTGTATTTTTTATTTTTAAACACTATATAAAATCAATCATTTTGTATTAGCTAAATTAAGAAAATCATATAATAAAAAAGTATTTTGTTATGTTAAATATATATATATACATATGTATGAATATCTAATTCGTTTATTTATTTTAGTTTTGTTTATTTATAATATATTAGAAAATTTATTAATGAACGTCAATAAAATGTTGCACGTCGAATTTAATCGTAAAATTATTATTGCTCCTGTGTGGTAAAGAAAAATGATCTAAACTTTTGCTGGAGCAACGAAAAGATAGAAGATAGAAATGTTTATGTGTAAAGAAATATTGTAGATACAAGCAAGTATTCGAATGAAATGCTTGCAAATTTTCCTTTTTCTGATGTCGTCATAAATATTTTGGAAAATATAAAATTAAAATTAAATATTTAGATATTTTCAACCGTGTTTCCCTCTAATATTGTATATTGTTTACACAATATATATGGTGTATATCTTTAAATTTTACAACGTCATCGTGAAATTTGCGGTTTCCAAAATGTTGTAAACGTGCGAATGATGACCACAAAGTTTGTTTCAATTTCCAGAAAACAAAAGTGAAAAAAAAGAATATTCTATAAATTTTTCTACGGAAAAATAAAGTTTTCTAAAGATTTACAATACTAAAGTGTGGCAATAAATTGGCAGAATTTAAAACAAAACCAAAAAAAAAATTCTTGAAACATTGAAGAATAAAATTAAAACTATTTTGTTTGAGTGTGAATTGCTGAAAAAATGTTTATTTGTTAATCATGAAGTGAGTAAACAAAACGAAATGTGACAAACTTATTTCCGCTCAAATTTCATTTCCTTACAAATGAAATTTTACAATTGACCCATTTGTAAATATTGGGTTATACCCGTACACTTGAAAACAAAATAAAAAATAAACAAAAATTTAAATTTATCGAATACTAAAATATTTCAAATGAGAGAAATTTTATTAAAACTTTTTTCAGATACATATTAATCTTCTCTAAGAAACATGGGTGTAGTTCAAGAAAAAAATTCACAGATATAGGTGCATTGTTCCTATGGTATGGTAGAGTGTTAAGCGCGATGCAGACTATTATTGTTGACCGAACTTGAACATGCTCACATTCAAGAGTTGTTCAAGCAAAATTTTTAAAGAATAAGGGAGTTTACGTACGCTGTATGTGTATTAGTGTAACCATATGCTTTCGAATGACGAATGCCAATGTTAGAGTGACAGACAATAGACAGACTATATATGTTGGCGAGAAGTTGAATGAGGTTAGCACATCATTTTGGTGAGCACGCCAACATGTTGGTTACATGTCATTCAAAGGTGCTGACTACCATTTTGAGTATTATTCTTAGATTTTCTCTCTTGAATGACAATCAAAAATGATAGACTGCACTGCGCTTTAGTGAACTAAACTTCACAATTTTAGAATCTAGTCTAATGACATCGAAAAGAAATGCTTAAGAAACTGTTTTCTACATATGAAAAAAAAAGTTTGCTATAACTAATTGCAAGTAAGTAAGTAGGTAGAGCTAGCTGGTCAAGATTACATATAGACAGTGACGTATACAGAAACATTTTAGGAAAGTTTTTGAATATTGATTCATATTTACTTTGAAAACAAAAAAAAAAGGCATTATAACAAATATAAAATATTTTTCTATATGTAAAACCCTTTGTGTGGAGTTTGAACCCAAAAACTCTTCTTGTTCACGTCACGGTATATATACATGATGGATATGAAGTAATACCAGAAAAAGGTCTTTGAAAGTAGCTACAATAGTACAACAGAGGTGTAAAGGTATAGTAGTAGTAAGTACTCAATTTATAGTGTGTGTGTACTATCATCGAACATAAAGAATATTTTAAGATATA